ACACCGCACTTACGCAATCAGGTGGCCAGAGATCACGGCTCGACGCCTTTCTTCATGGCGCGAATGATGTGGTCAGCCGGATTTCGAGGCACCCCAACGAAGGGGGCGTAGTGTATACTGAAGTTAGCTCGAACATTCATTTCTAGTACGAAAACTCTCGCGTCATCTCCTAGAGATGAAACCATCAGATCGACACCGGCGACGCCTAGGCCTGGCATGGCAGCAGCAGCCTTTTCTGCAATCATCCGAATGCGCGCTGGCACAAGATCTGTAATTTCGCAGGCATCTCCCCCGTCATGAATGTTGCTCACTTCACTCAGGATAAGTGGCACGGCGGCGGGCAAAACGGTGTTGAGTGTGAGCCCTTTGCGCGAAAGTCTCTTTTCAAGCCTTTCATGGATGCGCAGTGGATACCTGTGATGATACGGATGAACTCTTCTCCGATCATTTTTTCGATTGATAAACTCAGCTAAGGTTGAAACACCATCTCCGGTTATGTTTGCTGGAACACGCGTGGCGGCACAGCAAAATTGACCAGCAACAACGATCGCTCGGATGTCGATGCCCGGGCACTTTGTTTCCACAACGATTTCTGGCGGGCGTTTCGGGTTCAGATTTTCGCGGACGTGCCGCCAAGCTTGGTAGAAATCTTCGACGCTGTAGATCGTCGTCGTTATGCCAACTCCGCCCGTCCCAAAGTTCGGCTTAACGACAACGTCGAATCGGTAGCTTTTGGCGAAGTCTAGAGCCTGCTCAGCATCGGCTTCCTGGTAAAGTCTTTGCTCTGGGACTGGAATATTCGCCCGCGTGAGGTATGCGACCGTGCCCACTTTGCTGCTGCAAGCAGTGATGGCACTACGGTTGACAAGACTGGTGATCATTCCGCGGAGTTCGCCGATAGTCTCGGTGCCATGGGCGATCTTGTACCTTCTTTCTTCGACCTTCGTAAAATCTAGGCCATGCGTCGCGCAAGCCTCTTGAAACGTCGACAAATGGTCGCGAGGCCAGTCTGCTGGAGAAAATATGGGGACGGGGAGATAGGGGTAGTGCTCAATTAGGAAGCCTTCTGGCGTAAGCATCTCATTTACCTCGATCGTCAGCCTTGCTTTGGCGCTCACCGAATCACGAAAGGGACACCTTGAGTTTAGCGCCACGGTTGTCAGCGACTAATAATTCGCGCGCCCCTCCGCACCACGATCGCCTTTTTGCGCATGCTCCCGATGGAGAGGCAGCAGACCGGCCTCAATACCCCATGATAGCTTTTCTGAGCGGCCACCGATAGGAACCGACTTGTAGATTGTATGTCACCAAGCTCTGCGCGAACTCCATCTCGCAGCCAAGGCGAAAGTCGACTTCGGGCGCGAAAGTCCAATACTTGCCGGGGGTATTGGAGTC